ACTAGTGTTAAAAACACTAATAAACATAAAAATTACAAACAACAAAATTAATAAAACTTAAAGCTATATAGAAATATTTCAAAAAGCTAATAAACAGGGCAAAAACATGTATAACAAACTTACTAAAACATAACGCTATAGAAATATTTTTAACAACTGCTAAAAGACAAGCACATTACAAAAGTACTAAAACCTGAAGCTATATAGAAATATAAAAAACAAAACTAATAAAAATGACAGTTACATAACAAAATGACTAAAACCTAACTATAAAATTACTCAAATTAAGACTGAAAATGTTAATTCAAAAAGCTGATTCAAATTTTTGATAAATAATATAATAGTGTATGTAAATGCTAAAATAACACTAATTGAGTGTTGCATGCTTTTTTTAATTGCTAGCAAAATCCTTGTGAATATACTGTAAATATGCAATATATATTTCCAAGACCTAGTGGTGGTTAAAAAAATTCATTCCAGACTTGTCCGTGAATGTCAATAATTCAAGCACTATTACAGCATCTTGATGGTCAGTTTGGCCCCAGTGGCTTTAATTCTCAATGTTTGTTCATTAAAGCACAGCTGTATTGAACAAATCCTGTATCCTTTGCTTTTCCTGCTTCATGTCTCACCCTCATCGCCGCTGTGTTTTCCAGGTATATCCTGGTGGACTGGCTGGTGGAGGTGACCACCATGAAAGATTTCTCCAGTCAGGTGCTGCACGTGACCATCGGCTGTGTGGACCGCTATTTGAGCCGGCACTTGGTGCCCAAGGCGCAGCTGCAGCTCCTGGGCATCGCCTGCATGGTGATCAGCACGCGGTGGGTGAGCCGCCACAGCCACAGAGACGCTCTGTTAACGGTGTGTCTGTGCTCAGCTGAACTCTTTCTGTCTCGTCTGACCCCTCAGATACATCAGCAGAGAGATCCTGACCATCCGCGAGGCCGTCTGGCTCACCGACAACACCTATCAGTATGAGGACCTGGTGCGCATGATGGGGGAGGTCATCTCCGTGCTGGACGGGAAGATACGGGTCAGTTACAGATGGACATAAGCGCTTTCACACCAACACAGAACCCTCGTTATAGGCTGCCGGCTCAGATGAACGTAACCCTTGTGTCTGAAGTTTAGAGTTCAATTGAGAGAGCTGCTTGTTAGACAGCATTTTAAGATCTCATCGGCCAATGCGATGGTTATTCCACAAGGCCTTGCCATGTGCTTAAGAAAAGAAATTCATCAAGAGGGATATATGCATTTCGTTCAATACTGACAAGCAGTCTATTTGAAAATAGATTGTTTTACCCTGTATTTATATTAATTATTTTTGTCTGTTTATATTGATTGTTTTGCCCAGCTGTAAAATATAAGTATATAATAATTATAATTTCTATAATAAATTGTGTATTTATTTCTGTAAAATCTTTTGTATATTCAAATATTTTACAGGAATATACAAATAGTATAGAAACTTTTAGGTATTATATAGTAAAATAAGTATTTTGTATAATTCTTAGATATAACTAAG